ATCAACTAGTTTTTTGAGCTCCAACACATCTCGGTCCAGCCGCTGCTTAACCTCCTGGCTCGCTTTCAACATTTCCAGCGTTTCTTCTTTTTCTGCATGTCCAGGGCCGCAGGGTGAATTAATGTCCTGATCATGTGGACGGAAGAGGTGCCTCTTTTTGCAGAAACGAACTTTATTCTTTGCATCCATTTTGCAGATTAAAGCCAACAATAGATGGTTCAAAATTTTATACCAAACAATACAACAAAAATTTTATCGTATTGTTGCATTTAATTTTTTTTTTATTCTTAACCACTAAAGGCACAACAATTTAAAAATATTTTATTTGAACACTTTTATAAAATTATTATTTGCAATAAGCTATTTTTATATTAATATTCTCAAATAACTGTAGAAAAATAAATAAAACGTTTTTTGCATTGCTCAATAAGTCCGTAATTTTTAAGACAATTGGGGGGGGGGGAATGATTACTTTCCAACTTATTTGAACAAAAATACCAAAAATAAATTACTTCATTTTTTTTTACAGTAATTCCCATTGTAAGGTTCACAATCTGCAGGAAAGCTTCTTCAAAAGCATCTCAGACGATTATTGACGTCTGACGTCAATAAAAAATTCATCTTCTCAATGCTCAAACAATTTGGTGACACTTGAAACAAATTATGCATTATATGGGTGCTTGTGTAAAGGTGCCTGATGCCCGACCTTAAAATAAATTGTGTTTACGCACGAAGCTGGCTGGATTATAATCATAGAGCCCCCAACTATAGGCGCCACGTGCATGCAGGCGCTTACAAACTTATGCCTGACCCTTACAATTTTGGCAATTTTGAATGAGCAGAGTAGGCAAATTTTCTGAGGAGAGGGTTTGTAATGGTGACGAAATACCATGAGCCGGTTTAATATTATGGGTATTATCAGCCAAGGAGTAGGATATCAGTTGTTATTTCTAAGCTCAACGAGAAACATCATCCTGCCAGAAGATCATATATTCATGGGTAATTTCACAGATCGAAATATTTCATATAACTTCACAGAACTTTCTATTTTTATTTATTAAAACTGGGTGGACCGACAACATCCCAAGCAACATGAAGTCATCTCGATGGGAAGCAAAGAACCAATTGAAATAAAGAAGGTTCTTATCCAACCGTATTACAAAGTGTTTCCAGCACACATGGAATCAGCTGTGCTGACGTTGCTGTTTTTAAAACCACTCGAAGAATAAATTATAAGAAATTATTTTTAAATGAAGTTCAGGAGTCAAAACTGATAAGCTGAAACTGCCCTTCTTTTCACTGCCGGCACCAATCGTTATGCAGGAAAGACATCAATATTATTAAAATATTAAAGTTAGCCTGAAGAATAAAAATTTAAAAAAATGGGTTTTGCGCTTGTCAAAATGAAATTTTTAAATCTTTCCTACCGACGATAGACCCTGCAGGCCTGCATTAAAAAAAATTGTCAATATTTAATGAGTTGTTAAATATATGATATTTTGACTTTAGAGTGGAAATAAAAATCAATGTCCTTTACATTGAAAACGAAATAAATAGCATGTGTAATTATTATTTTTTTTTTAATAATTTTAATTGAATCTAAACAAAAAGAAAATGTACACATTCAAAGTTCAATTCTAAGTAAAGCAGAAGATTATATGTTCTGCACTTATTCTAAAAAAGAATGGTTTATTAAGACCTTTATTTGTTTCATTGAATCTCTTCAGAGACAAAATTAGCTACGGACCATATTTCCTGTTAGTAGTGACATCTGCAAAGAGAACGCAAAGCACAACGCAGTCAACGCATGCTCTCATTCAAAAATCGTTTGTTCGTCTGCAATCCAGCGGATCTTCTACAAAGAATAAATATGAACTGGCTGCTCAATTTTCCAGTTTCGTCTGCAATAAATGGAAGAAAATTCTTAAAAAAAAAAAATAAATAAATAAATGTAAAACTTGACAAGTTTTTAGGTATAGTCGATAAATTTTCAAATAAACCCTCCGTATCCACGCCGAAAGCAAAAGTTTCCCTCGTCCGCCACCCCTTGCGCTGCCCTTCTACGTGAGGGTTGCTGGAGACTCGCGCCAATAATGTGATGGGGGAGTGAGGAACTTTTACAAGCATTAACTTCCCTTACCTCTCTTCCAACCCTTCCAACCAAAACTAATATTTGATGGGATTTGGTCTAATAAGTGAAAATGACTCATCCTATCATTAATTCAGAACTAGTTCAGCAAAGGTGCAGAACTGGTGTCGATCTGATGCAGATCAGCTGAACCGATCCTGCATTATTTCTGTACCATTTTTGCATGAGATCTGCATTAATTCAAAATTTAAATGATATTGATATGAAATAAATTCTCCGAATCCTTATTTTGATTTATTAAAAATAAAAATAAAATCATTTAAAAAGCACTGTAAAAAATATTTTAATATAAAAATAAATTGCAAATGCCCTGACCAATAAAATGGTTTTATTGGTTATCTCATGAGAACTATAAACTTTAAAAAAAATTATTATGATATCAAACGGAAGCAACAGTGCGTTGAAAATTATATTTGTAAATCCATTAAGGGGTTGAAGCGGTAAGCTCAAGAACAATAAAAACTGTCGTTTGGCATCTTCATATCAGAAATAACATGCAAAAAGTACTAATTTAATAAATTATAGAAAAGAATCACATATGTATTATGTATTTTATCAGCACCCAAAAATTCACCAATGACAAAGACAAATTTCGTAGCCGAAAAGTGCTGCCCGCTGCAAAAAAAGCTGGAGTGCGACGGGATTGTGTCACTTTCGCGGTGCAAAACAGAGATGTTGGCGCATGCAGAAAGAAACGCTCTGTGCGGTTGGCGCGTGCGAGAGGCGAGCGAGGGAAAGGGTTGAATCAGCAGATAGCGCGCAAGTGAGTGGGGTTGGGGCCACATCATCAGTCTCAGCCGAAAAGATGCCCCTGTGACCTGCAGACGGACTCCGTGTGCCATTTGTCTCCGGGGCAAACAAATGCTACCAGAAAAGTATTGGTGGCCCCTGTTAAAGAAAAAGAGCAAAAAATATCGTCTGGTTTGTGAAAAGTCTTGCAAAGCATTCGATTTGAAAGTAGATTTTTGCGATAATGTCGGGCTGAATGAGTGCAAAACAAAATGAGGCGTCTTTGTGCGCGGGAAGTGCCTCTCGCAGCCCCTCCGATCCTCATTTCCATAACACCGCGTCGGGCTCTTTTGTTGGACCTCTCGGGACTTTATAAATAACCAATCAAACGGCCGAGGCCCTTTTTTATTTTAATGCACTTTCTTGCACACCCGGTGAAAATAATTCTCGACAAAACCAGATAAGGACACACAATAGGAAAGGAGTCTGCGTAGGGTCCTTTTTCCCAGCCGGTGCGAAAGTAGACGTGCCGCCGCGCGACGACGGGCCAATTCCATTTCGATGAAAGTGTTTTGGGGGTGCTAAACAATGACTTTTCTATTTCGTGAGGAAAATGTATGGTTCTCTAAGAGAAACTGGGGGGGGGGTCTTTATATTTAATTAGCATCAAATTTAAGAAATTTTGCAACCAATCTTTAATTTATTCTTCTTAAAATCTTAAAATTACAACCAAAAAAGTCAGATAAACAAAATTATGTAAATTTGAAGCAAAAAATTTATTCTTCAGTTCACTATTTAATAAGAACTTATGCCGCTGCAATTCACAACATTTGTGGATTTAGTTTTGATTGAATAAATGAATATAGAATCATCATTAATAATATCATCGAAAAATCTAAATCTTTAACTATTTCAGCGGTTATCACTAATAGGATGCACTTGAATATACTTTGAAATAGAAATAATGTTATAACAAGTTTTAACTTTGTTCTTCGTCCTTTCCTTTCTCAGCTGCTCCCATAAATATCCTTTCTCAGCTCTGCGGATTGCGCTTATCTAAATGATCATCTAAGGCAAAGAGGTGCTTTATTCGTGCTAGGGTCGCTTGTGGGAATTATTGGGCGAGCTCGCGCGGCGTGTTTGATTTAGGCGCGCGTTAATTCTGGCGAGCGCAGTTTTCGCACATCCACACAAACAGTCGCGCGCGCGTCTCTCGAAAGCGAGCATAAGACGGTGGACTTCCCACGAGGCAGATCCATTACCGGCTAAACACCTTTTAAAGCCGAGAGCGGCACACGCACGCATTTATCTCGGCCGCAAATCTGATTTCGCTCTCTTGTTGTGCGCCACTGCTGCTGCTGTGCTTGTATTATTTCCTACCTGGAGCCGCGCTGCATTCATTTGGCCGCATTAGCCGCGTGATTTATGCCCTTCTTAAATTGAATCCGAGCCAAACGCCTCTCCAGAGGCAAGGTGGAAACGCTTCTCGCGCACAACTTGCGCATTTCCATACTTATTTGAATTCCGGCTCTGTTTCGGAACAGCGACCCCACCAACCAACAGATGAGAAAGATTAAATTATAATATTTTTTGTAGTGACAGATAATATAATTAAAAAATTATAATATAACTAATATCGACTTTAAATTTATCAAGGAAAATGGTTTGTGATTTGAGAATCAGAAAACGTTAAATTCAGCTTAATAATGAACGATTTATTGTATATTTAATATAATCGCGATGATGATTTTAAATAATCTTTCTTTGTTTGTCTTAACTTCTAAAATTTTGATAAAAAATTTCTTTATTATTCCATTCCAAAGGAATAATTTCTTTAGTATGTTAATTCACAACATTTGTTCAAAAAGCATTTAAATTGATTATTCGTTAAATATTAAAAAAAAAATATACTTATCACAAATATAGATTATTAAAAGTTAACTAAAATAATAACTTAATCTTAAAAGTTTGTGAATTTTAATAACTAATATCTTTAGCTTGCTTCATAATATAAATTATGCTGTTTAAACATGATCGAAATATAAAATATGTTGTATTTTTTCGCATAAATAGAAATTTTTTAAAGAAATAATTCAGACACGCAAGGAATCAGCTACAAATATCGTGAGACGAATTTTTATTATCCGCGTAAATGTATGTACAGGCGTAATAAGTCATCATTAATTAGTAGGTAATCAGCAGCGAAAAGCACTCTCGCTTGACACATACACAGAGAGAACGAGTGCAAACAGCGCTATTTTTAAGGTGCAACGTCCAACTCAGTCCAACTCAGCTTTTTCCGAGTCTTTTGTTAATTTGGCTCGCCGGGTGAGGGCGACACATTTTTCCCAATTACACACTTCCTGCTCCTCACTGCAGCCAAAACAAGCTGAGCAAACACGAGGCCACCACCAGTGACCCGCCGAGGGTGCATGAAGATGGGTTGTCCATGGCAAGACCCTCGGAAGGGATTTCGGGGTTTTCATCTTGGCCGCCGAACTCATCCCAAGGACCGGAATCTCCTAAAATAACAAAATTGAGATGGAATTATTAAGGTAATTAACTTATAATTTTCAATTGAGAAAACATTTAAAATTCCACTCTTATTTTTCGTTACATTATTTAAATTAAATTAGATTTTGTTGATTACAAAAATTATGATTTTTCAAGGAATGAAAGTATTTGGGGCCATAAAACCTGCAGCTTTCAATAAAAATAAGATGGTAGTAGAATTTAAGATCAACTAATTTGTATTCACCATCAAAGGAAAATTAATAAATTACTGAGTTATGATGTATATTTCAATTTACACGTTTTAATTCCATATATGTACTCTAACGGAAATAAAATTTAATTGCCAATATTTCGGGACTTTTACTTAGCTCCTTGACTTCCTTCCCAATTAATCCCTTGCAGTCAAAAGCCTAATCAGACCAACATAATCCGAGGCGCATTAGTGTCATTACGAGAAGCAAGTAATTCTTGTTGTTTTGGGAGATTTGGAGATCAAAACGTGCGTGCGTATCGCGCCTATAATAGGCCCTAATCCCTCCGCAGCATTCCGAGGGCGTCTAATGAAACGCTCGACACTCTTAACTACTATAATCTCTTGTCGTGAGAGTGACGTACGTGTATAATTAAGTAATTGTTTGCACTCACCGCGATCCCATCTGTTGGTGGTGAAATCCTTGTTGGCTGCTCCAACCACCTCGTTATGCTTGTGCCGTTGTTTCGAGTGTTTGCTCCGACCTGCGCAATACAACGCCGGCTTTGTCAAACGATTCATTTGCTCGTGAAATTTTCAACACAATATACGTGCAGGGTACAAAAGCTCTATGAATATTTAAAAAATCCCCCGTAAAATTTGGGTCTTTTGTTATAAAAATCTATATAACTTGAATTTTTGCATTTACTGGCAAAAAGTAATTCGTCTGGCGGAAAAAACGATACTTTTAATCCTCTACTTACAACGGATAAAGAGTTAGAATAACGTACAAGGCAGAATCAAACCACTTTAAACCACCCTTATAGTAAATCGAGGAAGCAAAAAAAAATGTGAAAATCATTTGCTCATTTCTCCGATAAAAAGCACCGACGCTGCCGAGTCACGTTTTCCAATAATAATTTTCCGTACCTCTTTTCTTTCCACCTGCCGTTGGTGGCTGGCTGGTGGTGGATGTGGTCGACGTAGTTGACGGAACGGGAATTTCTGCAACAAAATTCATCAAATCAGAGAAGGTTGTTTTCGTTCCTTAGTTAGCGGCAGATCATATTCTGCGCGCACCGAGCCGTGGCCTTTTCTTTTGCGAGCTGGGGTGGCTCTGTCTTACAACCCCATCAATCAACCGCCCCCAGGGACGTGCCACTCACTCGGGGGAGGAAATGTTGTGTCTTTTTCGGCCTCAGCTAGTTTCACTCGCTGACAACAATTTCGTAAGTGAAACTCGCTGGTGCTGGACGTAAACGTGGAAAAAGATTGGCTCTTGTTTCAATTTCGAATGGAAGACGTCCGTCGAAAAGGAAAGTCTGCTTCAAAATGATACAATTCTAAAGATGTCTTGTTGCCGAAATAGTGGTTGAACAAAAAAAATCAACTAAAGTACTCAATCTATAATTAATATGAAGTTGCGTAACGCTTTCAAGAACAATAAAAAAAAAAAACTCTTGAATTCCAAATGATTTTGAAGTGAAAATTTTTGGTTTTAAGATTATAATTATATAAAAATGATATGAAAAGCAAAGCAAATGAAAAAAACTTTCACTTGATTTAAACAATTTCCATTTTTAAAGTTTTCAGATAGAATTAATTTCAAAATTTTGACCAAATTAATCTGCATTAATTATGTAATTTAGTGATATCATTAAGTAAACTTCATAAAGAATTAGTTACCATCAAGTTTGATGAGTCCGTCAGTCTCCCCTAGTGAGTTTTTGGCCACACATTTGTAGGACCCAAAGTCCTTGCGCAAAATATTGCGAATTTTGAGCATCATGTACTTCTTGTAGCCGTCGTCGGTCGACACCGCCTCGTACTTGTCTCCTGAAACATGCAGGGCTTTTGTTTCGTTACACTAATTTATTGCGCATATCCTCGCGATCATGCTACTTCTAAAGCTCTGCTCTAAAAATAAACGAGACCAGCGAACAAAAATCCAAGCTCAATATTGAATACTCGGTTTCAATCACATGCAAGAGAGACAACACGCAGGAGAACTCTCTGCTTGTTTGCTTAGCCGCGATTGCAACTGTTGAGAGCAAGTTGACCAGAAGCGATTCACAACAATACGGACTGACTCGGTTTATCGAGACAAACATACAAGCGAGTTGATCGGTCAGTCGGCCAGCCACTGCGTCAGACGCAGTGGACAGCCGGGAATGAATTTTCGCAGCACTGCTTCCGTCCGTCAAATTTGTTCGCGCCGAATGAGCGATTGCCAATTGATCTGGACTCTTCCACTGGAGATCTATAGAGCACCGATATCACATGAAAGCTCATTCGCAATACTTCCAACCAGTCCAACAGGGAAATGTGAGAAACTAATAGATGTAGAATAAACACAGTTCAGTTTTGGTTGAAATAAATAATTGGCAATAATAAAAAAATCAAGTGTTTCCGAATGTACAAAAATAGTCTCATAATGCCTCATTTCCTATTTCCAAGAGAAATCAACGAAGGGCCAATTTTTCCATCCAAATGAGTCATTTTTAACATTTTTAGGGAAACCTTATTTGGCATAGTCAAATCAAATCTTTACATGAATATAAAACATTTTTCGCAAATATTGAGAAACAACAATAATTTCAAAGCTTAATAAAAAAAAAAAAAAAAAAAAAAATAACCACCATTCTTTGATTTGAATATACCAATTAGGAGTCATTTGTTTCAAAAATGAAGCACTGGATTGGTGTTCATTTTTAACTTTTAAAATTTTTTATGTTTGAATTCAAATCAATATCTGCACCCAAGATGTTTTTGTCAAGGAGAGGCTTCTGACAAAGTAAAATTATTGCATTGCTTGATGTTTGTTGTAGTCAAATCTAGTTACATTGTTGTTAGTTTACATTGGTAAAACGGTCCAAAAAAGGTCTAGCAAGCCCCCTTTACACTTCGCCATAATTTTGTTTTATGTAGTCTGCAATTATGAAAAATATTAATCGGGTTATAATTTTTTTGCACTTTTAATTTTTTGTAAATGCCCTTCAAGAACACATATAAAATCGGCTTGGGTTTTGTTTTCCTGTCAAAGATGAATCTGTTCACTTTAGCGGAATGGCTGACGCAGTGGCATGTTGGGGAGCACGTGGCTAATGCAAAATGACAGTGGGTCGGGAGCAGAGGGCCCCGAGCAGCGGAGAGTGCATTGTGCGGCGAGTGCCGCATAAACGGCCGACGGTGTTTGCGCGTCGTGTTAACAAGCCGGTGTGTGTGTGTGTTTGCCGACAAGACAATCAATGAGCAAGAGCCTTTGCTGCGTGGAATCTCATTAATTCGCTCGCTGCCTGCTGGCGGAGGCGAGGTGCTGGAAAATGATTTCATAATTCCCCTGTGCCGGCTCAAGAATGAGAAGAATCTTTTAATCGCATTACGGCGAATTAATTTTCAAGATGCTTTTCATATATTATTCGGGCGCTCTCTGATTAAACCTTAACAGCGCGGCGCGCATTCCAGCCTTTCCATTAATTATAATTGCGAGGCAAAAGAGAAGCTGCAACTCCCATGCCACTTTTGAAGTAGTGTCTGCGGTATTTGCACTGACTGCTCGCGTGGAAAATGCCGAATAAAGGACCAAGAATCTCGGCTTGAAGTGTTGAATTTCAGGCATTTTTCGTCCTTTGAAATGCTAATTGGCAATTGTAGGCAATGGAAATTTCTATGGTAATTAGAATATAAGGGTTTTCATTTGGATTTAATTAAAATTTTTAAAGAAGTGGAAACGTTCCGAAATTTTATTTGTTTAAGTTTTCATTATAAAAGTTTATTTTTAGCAAATTCAAGAAATTTTTGTTTTTAACTTCTTTCCAACCACAATTTTTACAAAAAAATCTTTGTGGTGAGAGAGCCTACTATGAAATGTTGTTATGTCTCAGATAAATATTGTCAGAAGTCCCTTCCATGAAATGAATATAAAGACAGATAAATTTTGCACCAAATGAAATGTGATAAAAAAAAGAGCTGGATCAAATTAAGTAGACTGGAAGCGTGCAGAGCGGTAATCCTACCTGAAACGATCATGTCTCCTCTTTCTGTTGTCCAGTAATTGATGGAGGAGGGATAAGCCTCTGTGTGACACTCAAGGACCACATCTTGGCCCATATACGCGCCTTCTAACTGGTTTGGAATTGTCAGCATCGGAGGAACTGGAAAAAAGATGCCATTCTTTCAACTGTTGTTAACCAACTTAAATCTATCATTATCATTCAAAAAGGATAAAAGCACAGTTTTAAAACTTTTTTGAGAGGGTAAAAATTTACAATATTCTGAAATTTAACTGGTTAACAAAGTTATTCTTAATAGAGTTTATTTTCATCCGAGTTTAAAATCAAATTTGTGGGTTTGTTTGCACGAAAGCAGATTGATTTCTAATGTTTACTTTTCTAGTCAAAGGTCAGAACGGCGCTTTAAATTTTCTTTCAAGTGAGTTATCTTCGGCACAGCAGGAATGGGGCCGACTGACTGGCTGGCTGACTGGTGGTGCGCGAATAAGTTACGAACGGGCAAAAAGTGGCCCTGACCGGGAAGAGGCGTTTTGCGGCAAAAGCAGACCGGCCCATAAGTCAGGCCGTCGAATTCGGGGCGAAAAACTACTCACACTGTACGCGTAGCAGAACCCTTTTGCTGATGGATGGCGGCACTCCGTTGGACGCGATACACAAGTAGGCGCCCATGTGCAGCCGGCTCACCCGCGTTATGTACAACAGCTCTCCGTCCACCACGCTCACTGCAACATCACAAAAGCACATGAATGCATTGAAAGCACAATCGGCAGAAGTGACGAAAACAAATATAATTTTACGACATTTCAAGAAATGAATATGAAAAAGTAAATGAAAAAAGTATCAATTTTAATCCAAGAAAGGAAAACACTCCCCTGACATTCTAATTCAAAAAAAGAAAATAATTCCCAAAGAACTAGTACTTTGGGAATTATTTTCTTTTTTGAAAAATTTATACAATGCAGGAATAGTAATGAGGCTTTGACCTTTAGAGAAATTACTACTCCACCTTCACCTCAAATAATAATTGAATATTTTATTTAGTTTTTTGTTATTTTTATGAACAGTGTAAATATTAAAGCTTTCAAGATTTGTCACAAAAATTAAAAAAATAAATTTCGCGCAAATTGTAAAAAATGGTCTGTCTCCATTGAAGTAAAAAATATTCATTACACAGCGTCATAAAACAAAAATATATAGCTTTTTTTATACTTCCCAGATTAAATTCATTTCAAAATAATATAATTTAATACATACGTACTTCATTTTTAATTAAAATAATAGTACAAAAAACAATATAAATTTGAAATCACAAAAAAAATACTAAATTTCCCATCTCATATGCAAGTCGTGCAATATTTCTATATCAATGGCGTGAAGGGAAACTAGTATTTTCGGCATTCACACATGACATATGCATTTCTTTCCAATATTTTTTTCTGATGGACACACGTCTCTCATTTTCCCTTTCATTTGTCTGGCATGTGGCATCACTTAGGTTAGAGGGTGGGTTGAATGACGCGGCACACGCCGACCCAAAAGAAAGAACCCTCTGCTGCTTTCCCTCGCTGATGATAAGACGCGAGGAATTTACCTAACATGATTTGTGGCCCACGAGTCGAGAATACCAACCGTACACAAACAGAGCAAACGGCCCTTTTTTCCCTTGGGCGGCCTCTCGATTTTTCATCGCCGACTCAAAATTCTGGTCTCATTATTGAGAGATCTGATTGCCCCGCGCTGCCATTTTAATTTGATTGATGAGCAGAAAGAGATCTGGAGAGTGTGTTTGCTCTCCCGTCGGCCGCTTTTTCCAGCAGGCTGCAGGGGTTCGTCGGCGATCGCGTTCACTTCACTTCGGAAAGGCAGAGAGAGAGAGAGATCCTTCCTTTGATTAAACATTGCGCTGCCCCATTTGATTTGCCGCTTTCATGCAAAAAAGTCAATTACGCATGCGACAGAGGCAATTTGCATCGGCCCGAGACCAGATTTGATTAATTGTAGGCATTACTTTATATTCGTCCCTGTAAACTGAAGGGAAAATTTCACAAGTTGTTCTACAAAAATGTCAAAAATGCATAGTTTATGCTTTAAATAAAAATATTGAATGTTAATCATTTCTGTTTCCACCGATTTTCATGCACAGAATTTTTGTTCTTCTCATTAGGTCTCCATTTAATTTCAATTAATTCTTCTTCCCTTCGAAATGATATTCAAGAATCAATAATAACTTTTGATAATAAAAAAATATAGAATAACGGACCTGATTGGAGAGAATAAAATAAATGTACGCAGATACATTTCTGGAAAGCGCTCTTCCACAACAATTTTCATCATTTTGTTTTTTTCGAGAAAGTGAGGAAAGGTTAAGCCTTTGGAGAAAAGTTTCCCATATTGAGCATTTTGTGTCTAGACTCGCTCTGAATTTTAGTAACAAACGATTCAGCAATAAGAGGATATATATTTTCATCAACAAGATCCAATTAAGAAAATTAATTATTTGTACCTTCGTTTCCATTGTAGTTAATGTCCTCGCCATCTTCGCGGCGCCACATGATGTAAGGCTCTGGATAACCCTCAGCTTTGCAGTTCATTGAGACGTTGCTGTTTTCCCTGACGACCATGTCCGAGCTCGTCTCTTTGTCCAGAATGCTCGGTGGAACTAGAAATGTAGGCCAGATATTGTTATTTTCATAAATAACGCGTTCCATCTCAGCTAGAAAGCCGCTCTGTTCTTTGCAACAAAAGTTTATTCATTAACGGAGAAAATGAAGTTGCCTTTGCCGAAGCGGAAAATACGCATTTGAAATATTGTTATTCATCTCAATAATAATCCGACGAGTTGAAAGACCTAGCGGATTTCTGCATAAAGAGTCGGGGGATAACAAAGAGTGAAGGAAATAAATATAGCACTGGAGATGTTTTGACGTTTTTAATATATTGCCACGATTGGAGTTGACGAGTGAGCTTTTTATTGCTTTATACAGCGACTGTAAATAGCGAAAAAAGCGATTGCAAAATCCGCAAGTGCTTTCCTTTTCCCGCTAGGAACGACAGTGCAAACAATGAAGGTAGACGAATAGTGGAACTTTTATTCCCGCAAGCGTACTTATTTGATCTATTCCAAAGAAAAGAAAATTAACTGTCAGCAAATTGAATTTTATTTAGATTCCCAAAGCCAAAAGGAATGAGCTGCTTCAAAACGGCACGTGGGAACATCCCTCTAATTTTTTTCATATTCTCCAATGCAGTAAAATTTTACTCCGCCGTGCCGAGTGGGAAATTAATCGAAAAAGTGTATGTCGCTGGCAGTCCGGCGGGAATGGTAGGCGCGGAAAAGTGGCTGCAATTGGGCACTCACCGACGACCTGGACATAGCCGACGCGCGACCTCATGGGATCGGTGTTTATTTGGCACATGTACCAGCCCCGGTCGGCCTCCTGGACGTCGTTGATGTGCAAATACCACGAGCGATGGTCGGTGTGTGACAGCGAGATGCGCGGGTTCTGTGTGATCACGTTGTGGTGGATCGAGAGGATCGTCTGCGTATCCACGCGCACCCACGCCACCTGCGGACAAACGCAACGAAGCTCTCATTAATTTAATTAAATTAGTCGGAAACAGAAGTAAATTTGAGAATTGCACAAGGAGGTTTATTAATTAAATTGAAAATTGATGCAAATTAAAGGTAGGCAACGTGCTCTGCAGGCGATCTCAGCAGGTTGCATACCTTGATTATTGTTGTTTATTTGTTCACATGCATTGTTACAATACATTGTTTGCATTTAATTTTTAAAGGCTAATAATTTAAAAAAGGAATTATTGGAGAAAACTGCACCACCTCTGGCAATAATTATGCCAAAACTTCTGAGAAACAAATAAATCCGCCGCAGTGAGCCTCACGTGACTAATTGTAAGTTTTTGATCCTTGATTTTGTGTTTTGTTCTTATCACTTATAATCACAAATTTTTCCACAGGTAGGCCTTGCAGAGCATTGGGAAACTGTTCCGCTGGGAATGATTTCAGCACATCCAGAAGGTCATTCTAAGGTTGGATGATCCTGTGGGAAAAAGAATCCTTGGCAAACTTGTTCCAGACTGTGGCAAGCTGCAGATTTTTGGGCAATGAAGGTCATCTGATCGGAAATGCCGGCGCTCGAAGGTATCTTTTTTAGGGTCAGGAAACTTATACATGTTCTATTTTTTTCCTGCAGACTGTAGAAATTTATTTGTTAAATACCAAACTTTTCATAGTCATATAAAAATTTCAACTTAATTTAAAATAAACGAAAATTGTGATACATTTTGTTAAGAATCATTGTCCCTTTAATTGGTTGAACTCCAACAAAGTTGATGGAATATTCAAACACTGCATTTCAAAGTCAAGAGAGCGAAATGATACAATAAAGCTATTTCTCTTTTGTTGCCTATGGAAACTTCAAACGTAGCACATTTAATAATTCCAGTTCAACCGCAGCTACACTGTGAATACACCAAGTATAGCGGCAAAAGTGATTGAATAATATCCGCGAAGCTCTTAAAATTTAATACCCACCGCATGGGTATCGATTGCCATTGGGTTGGTGCAGACTTACATTCTCATTTGATACTCTGTAATTAAATGGTTGGCACACTCTTTGCAGTATTCATGACTGCACGGAATGTGAAAAAAAGGAGACCGGAAATGTTTCTCCAGGGATGCAATTTCGTCGCAAATTTGTGACAAACGACCCGTCGTAAATTTGGAAAATAATGTGCAAAGTTTATTATGAAATCACTGCAGGATTATATGAAAATATAGTGCACTGCGGTTTCCAAACCACAGAGACGAGAATGCTAATTTTTTTCCTTGATGTTAATAATCAGCTGGAATAAGTGCACGTGATAAATTATGTGGAGCAAAAGAAAGAAAACCGTTGGAAATTCCCTCCTCTCATTGTTATAGCTGGGCTGAGTGTTTTTCCTCTGGGAGGCAATAATGCGATGTTTTCTTCTCGGATGCTGCGATGATATTAATTTTGCGGCCGGTGCCGCCATGAATAATGAACGGGTTGGCCGTGTGTGTTGTAGCCGCGCTAATCCCCTTCGCGCCGCAGCTCTTTCGCCAGCTTGGCCGGCCGGCTACTTTCCCGATTAGCTGCGCGTTTTTTTCGCGAGCAGCTCGCGAAATTGCGGCTCAGCAGCTAACTCTTGTCTGCAGGGAAACATAGCGAGCATCATTTGTTCACCTGCTGGATTTCCTTGAGCCGCTTTTGCTCTTGACGTGTTTCAAGAGATTCACCATTTGGCCCCGGGGTCAAGGGGGATTTACCTGTCTGTTTTCGAATTTAGCTTCTCTGGCGATATCAGCGGACGCGTTGATACTTGTTCTTGACAGGCTGAATCCCGACACGACATGAATATTAATTTTCAAATGTCAAAAAATGTTGCTGATCAAATATTTTTCCTTAAAATGAAAAAGAAAATCTAAATATACACCGCTGGATTAAATTAAATAGATGTTTTAGCGTTCTAAATACACAAGAAATAAGTCAATTCGTCAAATGCAATACATATAATTAAATATATAAAGTATTGATTGATTAATAACGAGTATAATATCCAAGTAAAATAATTTAATGTATTTTTTTTTAAATTATTTCATTAATTGGTTTGATTGATTGATTTTATTTATCAAATAAGCCTATTATAAACTTGTTTCATTTATTTAATTGACTTTTTCTAATAATAAAATCACATTTACCGAACAAAATTTCTGTGCTATTTGAAATACAATACACGTCTAATTCATGTAACTCTCATTGTCGTAAAATCATTGGAGTAAAACTCACCTTGTAATTTTTAAGGTTGTCCACAACGCAAGCCAAAACGGCATCCTTTCCTATCGTGACTGTGATGTTAGGAATGCTTTCGGAAAATCTTGGCATGTGCAGCTCTGAAACAGAATCAACGGGGTCTACTAAATGAATATGAATTTAATTCCTTGCAAAATGTACTAAATACACTCTAGAAAGACATATTATAAGTCAGCGGTGAGGATGAGGGTTTTTTTTTAGCAAAATTGAGCAAAATTGTTGATGGTCGTGGTACTGTTTTTCTTTTTTCTTTCGAAAATCAATTTATTGTCTTATTAAAATTCTTTTGTTAAAAACTTCACATCAGTCAAGTGGGAAACTAAAAATTACGTTTTAAACCGTTGAGAAATTAATTTGTTAATTTTTTTTAGTTTCGAGTTGTTGGTAATTATATACGCAATGCTCACACCCTCTCGCGGTTTGCTAGTTGTTATAAAATCTCAAGGCGGAACTGACTGCAGGCCACTTAACTCACAATCAGTGGAGGGTCAGACGGAAAGTTTCCGGGGCGAAACGCATGCAACCGCTGCTGGAACTTATTTCGCGCAAAAAGCCGAGATTTAGCCGTGCGCGCCGCATAGCAATATTTACGCGGAAATTCCGGAAAGGGTGGCAAAGGAAGGGGTCGGAGGTGGCTCCACTGGCAATTTCACACGTTGGTGATTATGTCTTTGCTAAGTGCGCGAAAGAGAAGGAGAAAGCGCGCGACATGTGTTTCTTGGGCGGTGTTTTGTGTTTCCGCCTGTTGGCAGGCAGCCCCGCCAAATCCAACGGCGGCACAGGTAGCGAGCTGGGCGCGCGATTGCGTGCCAGAGCCATTCAATTTCCTTGTTTAAATTGCATTTGGCACCCGCACATAAATCGAGATAAGTGTCAAGGCGAAAAAGCGGTGAGAATATACGAACGGCTGCCCCGCCGCACTTCTTTAAATCAAATTTATTATGCGCGCACCAGCGGGAGAGCGTTAAGCGAGTGTGAGTGAGTGAAAGTGAGGGCGCATTATAGGTAACACCCTGCTCAAAAACGAGCCTCCCTACCGGTGATTGGAAACCGAAATTTCATTTGTAAGAAATAGGAGGGTGGAATTGTTTGAGAAGTCCAAGTCCCTCTAGCAGATATCCAGGACTGTTAAAACAGTTTGTAACGGAATAGAAAAATAGAATTTTAGAAAAATATTCAAGCCTTTCAAGAATAAAAATAATAAATATTAGAATTGTTCATTTTTTTTTATGCAAATTGTAAAGAGTCATGTCATACCAAAATTAATTATTTTCATCTATCAGATCCAAGTTTTCGGTTATAAATTTTTGACTACCAACAAAATGTTCAACTTTTTGTATTCTTTATTTTTGTTATTATAAAAACGAAAAGCAATGTATGCCACTCTAATTAATTTTATTTTGATTCCATTGTATTTTGGAGTGGTAAAATATTCGCGTTATTTAAAAAGATTTACTTTTACACTGATTTCTACCATCAAAAACTTTTCAGCACACTTCTCTGCGTTGAAAACAGATAGAGAGGAGAATTTTACTTGAATCGTGCAACGACCTGAGGCGACAACCACAACATAGCCATTTGGGAAAAAGGCGACGCATGCAGAAACTGCTCTTCTGCGCAATAAAATCAGAAGGAGTGCCATCATCAGGTAATTAAATTGGCTCTCACACAGTGAGCAGCCGGGAGGGTCCTCCTTTGCGTGCTTTTAATTCGGTTGATGGCGAGGCAAATGGTTTACATATTCATTAAATTGTCTCTCAAGAAGTATAATTAGTTCTCGCAAGGCGGCACGCGCTGTTTACCTTAAACTTGGCAGTGCGTGAAATAAGCCCTGCCTCGACGTTTCGCCAGCCAGCCCAGCTAATTAAACACCACACACACACCCTCTCACTCGCCCTGGCAGCAACACCGACCTGATGCTGCCTGTGCCGAATTCCGGCAAAACATCACGTTTTTAAAATTATCGCCGAGCTACGTAACGGCCGAGTCGTGTGTGCGCACCCATATGAGCGTTAAATTAAAGAATCTCTGTTTGATTGTGTCGGCCGCTCGATCTCTGTGTTTGCGCTTCCTTAAACGTACATACCGACGGCTTTCCGAGAGTGCGGTGCACGTACGGAGCCCGTTTTATTCCAAATTAATTGCCTGCTCGCTGGATCTTGAAGCGCCGCCGAGCAAACCAAGTTTGTTCCGCGCAGGGGTGGTGGATTTTTGGGCAATGTGCGCCGCCGAAAATTAAAAATACACAAGCAGATTTTTTTTGGAAAAATTTTTTGCTGCGCTCGAATTTTTTATTTTGCTATATTTGCACGAAGCAGGAAGTTTATGGAATTACAAACAAGCTACTTTTTCTCAAGCTGGTGCCCTCATAATGAAAGTTTTTTATGACGTTCAGTAGACGATTATATTATAGTGTTTTTTCATGTGCGAATAAAAATCCTTGTGTCAAGTGTTTGTGGAGCAGCCCGTAGCTGGAATTTCTCTATTAAAATTCATGTTAATTATTCTTTCATCACATTCTTATATTTTAATCCATAATAAAATGAATAATAATAATAAAAGGAAAACAATTATGACCTGCTCAAACATTGAAAAATTTATTTCGTTGAACTAAATTTACTAATTTTTATAGTTGGAAATTTTTTTAAATAAAAACAGCAAAAAATATTGACTTTTTAAAGAGCAAAATAATTTTTTTTCTATGAAATATAATTAATTACTAAAAATTGAAATTATTGTTTACACAAATTTTCTTACATAAATAATCAAAAACTATTTAATGTTTTATGTTTACTTATTTTGTTTATGAATTTATGCATTCTTTAAATGTCTCTTTAAAGGTATATGAGGCATGAAAATCCTGATAAATATTCTCATTATTGGACTCTGAGGTGTTCTTCAATTAAATTATTTATGGCAGAGCTAGTCGCTGGCAAGTTTCCAAGGCGACAGTCATTCCGTCATACTATGGCAACTAGAATCTAAAGAACTTAAATTGATTTTAGGCACCCACGAAATGATAAAAAGAAAGAAAATATTATTCAATGTAATATGATTGATTTATAAACAATTTTTCTTTGTAAACTCAAATGTGTATTTTAAGTGTTCCAAATATTTGAATAAAGTTGATTAATTAATAATTTAAACTTTTCGAAACTTGAAGGCGATATTAATACTTAATTGAAATCAACCGCACAGCTTGATTGATTTCTAATGAGCGCCAGTCAAGTTTCTCGATCAAATATTGCGATAATGTTTTACACTTCAAATATTTGCCTATGCTTGAATATGTTTGCTGCGCTTCCATTCATTTCAGTTTATTTTCCACGACCCTGTTTGAAGTATAGTGCATGCAGCACAGAAATTAATCTCGATATTACGCTCTCAGGGAAATTATTCTGCAAGAGCGGGCACGAGCGGAAGCAGCAAAATCGAGACAACACACACAGCCTCCGCTTCTTACCACCCGTGTGTAATTTACTTTCACCCAATTTTCGGATCCAATGATTTTTGATCACACACACACTCACAGAGACAGGAGGCAATCGTGTATATTTGCTCTCGTCATATTCAATATCGTGTCAATTTTCGCTTGGTTCTCCTCAAGCCGCTTGTACCAATTCCGGTGCCTCTGCGAATTAATTTTAATCCCTCCAAGAGTGGATTTTTGCTCGGCTGCTGAGTTGAACAAAAAGTTGTCAAACTGTCGCTAATCCGGATCAAGTTTTCTTGAATTTTGACAGTTTCGAGTAAGAGAAGGCTTAGGCAAAAATGTGCGGCGTCTTCATTTCTCTTACGACGTCGAGCGATGATGAGACTGCGCTTTTTCCCAGCCCAAAGCTTCTTCGCCGTCATCACGAGAGCAAGCAAGACGTGCGCGCAGGCAAACGGCAAAGAGAGCAGAGCAACGTGTTTCATCCTTTTGCTCTCTCATTACTCTCGCGAATGCACTCGCTGCGGTGTAATTCATAATTAAACCGCTTTCGAGCACGGAGGGAAATTGATGCACACGGCAAAGTTGGATGAAATGCTAATTCATCGTTAAAAATTTAAACCGCAGCAGCTTGGTGCCCACAACCTTTTTTGCATCTCATTTATTTAATTAAATTTTAATTAGATTTCCCTAAATTGAATTGAATTTGGAAAAATAAAAATAATTAAGTGTCACCAAATTGGTATACAATATTATAATTGGCTGTAAAACATGTGATTATTACCATGTACAGTACAGCCAAAATAATATTTTTTTCAAGCTGTGTAATGTAGGAGACTGCAGCGAGTAATAATTTGACATTGAATCACCGCTTTTTTTGGCTATTTCGTCTTCCAACGAATTTAAAACTGTGTGATGCAGTTATTGCTTGTTAGACATTTTTCTTAAAAATTAATTAATTAATGCCTTCATTGTTATTTTAAAGCTTGTGATATATATTTCTGAACAGCAAGAACAGGAAGTTGACCTATTACTTTTTTTATGGAAAAAGTAAAAAATAAATTAAAATTATAATATTAATTATATGACAATGGCATGGCAGTGGTGTGACAGTGGCGTGGCAGTGGCGTGGCAGTGGCGTGGCAGTGGCATGGCCACAGTGGCCACGGCAACGATTTGGACTTTTTACATCTGAAAACGCGCTTAAAACACTAAAAGTCGCATTTTAGAGAATAAGTTGGTTAGTTCTTTGCCCATCTCTAATAATATATACAAATCATAATAAAAAAAAACTGAGATAAAATTGCCCTTAGTAACGAACTTCAGAATCCTGCTTTTTTTACTAATTACTGCATTAAGCACTGGGGGTAGTGAAAAGGATAAAACAGAGGGAAAAAGGGAAAGAGCAATATCTCCATCAAGAATTATAAAAGTCTCCCTTTAAAGCGCGTACATACAAAAACAGAGAGCGCTCTTGGTTGTTAACTTTTCCTGCTCCTCCAGCCCCGTCAAGAGCGCCACTTTTCTCTATTTATCAGCCTGCTCGACTCTCCCTGGCTCCCTCTCTCCAGCCTGCGCGCGTGTGTAAAACGTGTGCGTTAGAAAAATTTCTCCCCCGCACTGGAAAGCGAGAGAGTAAATAAATCAGCGCGGGCTGCTTTTTGACTG